CTCGAGCCACCACCAATTTGTATCTTTTTTTAAAGTCTTGACTTCTTGACCGCGACACCGATAGCATTGTTCTTTTCTCCAAGTTGCCTAATGTTTTGTCTTAGTTGGGTGTCAAAGCTGCTTTATACCCGATAATCTGGTCACCAACTAAACAATGTGCATGTGGCGTATTTCTGGTATCTCAATTAGTTTGCCCAAACTGCCACATTGCTTATTCTGAAAATCCCTTTAAACCTTGCGTCTCTATACTGTTATCAACTGTTGTCAACGGATACGAAGCAACCACGCAGTAATTTGTTGGCTTTAATCCAGTCGGTGGAAACGCTTACTGTAGGCCCGTGGCTCTCAACCTTCCTAATGCAGCGAGCCGTTGATACAGTTCCGCATGTTGTGGTAACCACCCAGCCATAAAGAATGTTCCGTTGCTACTTCATAACTTTAGTGAATATGTGTTTTCCGACGGTCTTAGGCGACCCATTCGAAAGGGTCGTTTGACCCACAGGTTGAGAAACGCTTATGTAGACAAAGGGGCTGTTCTGAAGACTATGAATAACTGCTACATGAAGATTCAGTAAGAAAATGAAATATGATTGGTTGTTTGATATTCATGGTATCAATCGGTACTTGGCAATGAATGAACACATTTTTGGTGTAAAGGGCATTAGTATTTGGATCGTTCATTGAAGATATACTGGATAGTTTGAAAACCAACTTTAAAGGACTAGAGATAGTTTCTTCTTTTTCTTCTTTAGTCTCTTTTTCTTCTTCTTGATCGTCATCATCCTTATTTTCTTCTTCTTCTTCTTCTACTTCTTCCTTCGCCGTTAAATGGCTAGTTATGTTGTGGTTTACAGCTAAGTTGCGAGTTTTTTCTACGAATTACTACTATTTGAAAAGCAGTATCAATGAAAATGTATTTAGGGAGACTATCCTGAACTGAAGGTGGTTCTGGCAAGTAGGAACGTGTCTCGATTACAACCAGGATGTTGCTGATGCTAAGGCCTACAGCTTAAAACATTTGCTTTTGCATTTGTGTGCGGCCTCCTGGCTGGTTGCCTCCAGACTTCAGCACCTTATTTTGCCAGGGTAGTCTGTGGTCTTACCCGTGGACTCCTGGCTGGTTGCCTCCAGACTTCAGCACCTTATTTTGCCAGGGTAGTCTGTGGTCTTACCCGTGGACTCCTGGCTGGTTGCCTCCAGACTTCAGCACCTTATTTTGCCAGGGTAGTCTGTGGTCTTACCCGTGGACTCCTGGCTGGTTGCCTCCAGACTTCAGCACCTTATTTTGCCAGTGTAGACTGTGGTCTTACCCGTGGACTCCTGGCTGGTTGCCTCCAGACTTCAGCACCTTATTTTGCCAGGGTAGTCTGTGGTCTTACCCGTGGACTCCTGGCTGGTTGCCTCCAGACTTCAGCACCTTATTTTGCCAGTGTAGACTGTGGTCTTACCCGTGGACTCCTGGCTGGTTGCCTCCAGACTTCAGCACCTTATTTTGCCAGTGTAGACTGTGGTCTTACCCGTGGACTCCTGGCTGGTTGCCTCCAGACTTCAGCACCTTATTTTGCCAGGGTAGTCTGTGGTCTTACCCGTGGACTCCTGGCTGGTTGCCTCCAGACTTCAGCACCTTATTTTGCCAGTGTAGACTGTGGTCTTACCCGTGGACTCCTGGCTGGTTGCCTCCAGACTTCAGCACCTTATTTTGCCAGTGTAGACTGTGGTCTTACCCGTGGACTCCTGGCTGGTTGCCTCCAGACTTCAGCACCTTATTTTGCCAGTGTAGACTGTGGTCTTACCCTTGGACTCCTGGCTGGTTGCCTCCGACTTCAGCACCTTATTTTGCTAGGGTAGACTGTGGTCTTACCCGTGAACTCCTGGCTGGTTGCCTCCGACTTCAGCATCTTTTTTTTGCTAGGGTAGACTGTGGTCTTACTCGTGGGCTCCCATGTTTATAATGAGAGCGTGGCTCCTATTGTTACATTATCGATATAAGGACACGACAGCCGCAGCGGCTGTTTGTCAGAATTAATTTCGTCATAACACCTCTAAACTTCATATTACTTAGTTTTTTTTCCACGAATAACAAAATATCTATCACAAATGAATTTGTAACAAAGGCACTTTGTTATCGAAAAAAACACACACACTGATATCGCTTGTAGCCGCAAAAGGGTCTTGGCGCCGCCATTTCTAAACCTGAAGAATACAACGTTTCCAGACAAAACATTTTTTTAAACTCTGAATCTTCCTACTTATTACCCCCCCCCCCCCCTCCCCTCCCCCACCTCCCATTTTTCTCTGCTCCGTTACATTACTTCTTAGCATAATTTCATGTTAGAAACAGGGTACGTTACGCCCTAGACGCTTCAATATAGAAATTGACTCTGAAAAGAGCTCCTTGAGTCAGAAGTGTTAGTAGCCATTGTGTTAGCTGAAGTCATTAGAGTAAAGATTTGACATTATAACATCCAGGACAAGCTCATATAAGCTTCGTCTCCCTTCCCAACAGCCAGCGAAGAGTTTTCCTACTGATGGTGCTCGTTGTCATCAGGTTAACTACTCGTCTTACCTTTCCCCCCGAGTCTTGTGTCAACTAGAGCCCACAGACACTCCCCTCTGCAATATTCTCTCCAAGGGTGGATGTTCATTATCTTCAATTGTACTTTGTAACCTCATCGAACATTGCAGGAAATCTCGTAGATATTATGAGGAAATGCAGCAGTGCAAGGGAACGAAAGATCAGATTTTCTGACTACAAAAGGTTAAAAACAACGAGAACATTCGCACTGGACTAGGGGGATATTCTGAAGACCATTTACGAACTCCTGCTGACAGAAGACACGAGATTAGACAAAATAACATATGCAAGAATGTGTGAACGAGGAATCCGGTGTGGATCCGGCAAGGAGGGGCAGATAAGAAGAAGCGAACTACGTATGTTTGATCAAAGTGCTACCGAAACAGCTAGCATCTACACCTTGAGACATTTGTTGCCGGAGACAGAGCATCTATGAGTTTGCCCGGTGTGCTATGATGTTGATTCCTAATTCAGTAATCAGTAATTTGTTATCTCATCCCACAGGCGCGACACCACCTGGGCCTTGAGCAGAGTCAGTTGGTGTGCTTGCATTCGGATATCTGAATACCTACAGCCTGTTGTAGAGAGGGTCGTGGAAAACGCTTTCCTACGAGTCTAACGTAGAGAGAGGGTGGTGGGAAAAGCTTTCCTCCGAGTCTAACGTGGAGAGGGTCGTGGGAAAAGCTTTCCTCCGAGTCTAACGTGGAGAGAGGGTCGTGTGAAAAGCTTTCCTCCGAGTCTAATGTGGAGAGAGGGTCGTGGGAAAAGCTTTCCTCTGAGTCTAACGTGGAGAGATGGTCTTAGGAAAAGCTTTCCTCCGAGCATAACGTGAAGCGTGTCGTGGGAAAAGCTTTCTTCCGAGCCTAACGTAGAGGGTAGTAGGGAACGCTTTCCTTCGAGTCTATCCTGGAGAGAGGGTCGTGGGAAACGCTTTCCTTCGAGCCTAACGTGGAGAGAGGGTCGTGGGAAACTCTTTCCTCCGAGTTTAACTTAGAAAGGTTCTTGGGAAAAGTTTTCCTCTGAACCTAGCGTAGAGCGGGTCGTGGGAAAAGCTTTTCTCAGAGCCTAACGTACAGCGGGTCGTGGGAAAAGCTTTTCTCAGAGCCTAACGTACAGCGGGTCGTGAGAAAAGCTTTTCTCAGAGCCTAACGTACAGCGGGTCGTGAGAAAAGCTTTTCTCAGAGCCTAACGTAGAGCGGGTCGTGGGAAAAGCTTTTCTCAGAAAATAACGTAGAGCGGGTGATGGGAAACGCTTTCCTCCGAACCTAATCATGCCTCACCCAATCTCTACAGCCATGCATAGACCTTTTTTTTTTTTTGAGTATTTGTTAATAAATTTCATATTATTTGAATTGTGTGTGTGTGTGTGTGTGTGTGTGTGTGTGTGTGTGTGTGTGTGTGAACTATTCAGCACACATTATTTATATTTTTATTATAATAAATGTCATTACTGCGCACTTAAAAAAGGCATAAGCCTATTGAGTTTGAGTCTAGTATCTTGTAGGGTTAGGTGGTACCCTGTGCGGAAAATGAGCTACCCTGTGCGGAAAATGAGCTAACCTGTGCGGAAAATGAGCTAACCTGTGCGGAAAATGAGATACCCTGTGCAGGTAATGGCCTATCACACGTTTTTTTTTTTTTTTTCAATATATTGCAGATGTCTTCTGTCTAAAGCACACAACACAGTAGAATGCATACATTCATTTTATTGTGACACCGTTTACACTGGCAGGCTTCATGCAATGTGTACAATATCTGTCGTTTACAGGGATATAATTTTACAGATACATTGTGACAAAACAGCACCGTACAGAAATACTGGTTAAGTACGAATCTGAACAGTAAACAATCAGTTAGTTCATTCTATACCAAATAATCCTTCATACTTTAGACAGAACAATCAAGCACAACTCATTTTAAACCTGACAAATCACTAAACGTTTAGTGGCAACTCCATACATTTGTATTTTTCTTATTTCATTTTGTAGCTGGAAACATAATTTACGCTTATTTGATTTCCAACCCACCCCCAGTGTTAATTTATACTCTTCGTTCCACAATAGTGTTATTTTAACTCTTTAGACCCGTTATGTCAGAATCAAAATTCCATTTGTGCTTTTATATTGTTTGTCAACCAAACGAATCATACCTGACTGTACCATTTACGTTTAGACATAACACACTAAAGAAATTTCTCAACTTTTGTGTCTTTTATAAGGTGTATTTTTGTGTGTCTTTTTTTGTGTTATGTTATTATCGTCAAAGCCTCTCTGTTGGGAAAATGTTCTATTCTGGGGCTAACACATACGTAATAGAAATATTAAAACAAATGCTTGGACAAGGAATAATTAAGAAATCTGGCAATGTTTCCGTTGCGAAGGAAGCAGCCGATAAACGTCTGGCGATAATGGCGGCAAGTAATGAGTTAGTGACCGTTTCTCTTGCTGTGGTACATTCCCTGCAGAGACTTGCCCAAGAATGTCGGCTCGTTAAGGGTGGCGTTCAGGCAAGCTTGTGGGGGTTCAAAGATGGAAGGGTTGGTGATTCCTTGGACTACATTGTAGATGTGTGTATGGATGGTCTGGTTAAAAATGCCACTATGTTCCCAGGTACGGATGGGGTAGCAGTTGACTCTGCTGAACACGCCAATCCACTCTTCTCCTGTGGAAAAAGATTAGGAGACAAATTGTTAGAGTTTCAAAGAATTACATAGTTGACATCTTGCGACAGATTAGATGGTATCTGTGTAAAGTATAGAGAAAGGTTAGATGAAAACTTGTTACAATCTAGAGAAAGATTAGAGGACAACTGTTTTTTTTTTTTTAATAACACGATTAGAATAAAGGCTGTAAAAATCTAGTCTACATGAGGCCAACTGGTTAAAACATAGAGAAATATTAGAGGAAAACTGACTACAATCCAGAGAAAGATGAGAACACGGCTGGTTAATGTCTAAAGAAGATTAGAGGACAAACAGTTAAATTCTAGAGAAAGATTAGAGGACAGTTGGTTTAAATACAGAGAAAGATTAGAGTATAATTTGTTAAAATTTAGAGAAAGACTGAAGGGCAACTTGTTAAAATCTAGAGAAAGATAAAAGGACAAATGGTTAAAATCTAGAAAAAGATACAAGAACAAATAGTTAATGTCTATTATTAATTATCATTTATAGCTGCAAACAAGCAGTGACAGACAGACAACGTTGTCATAAGGCATATCGGTAGACAAACAGAGAGACAGACAAACCGGCGGATAATATCATCTCATGTTCCCTTATGGTAGACTTACTTCGTACGTCACTCCTATCGGACCACTCTACAGCCTCAACTGTCTCCCCGGGTCCTCCAATGTAGTACTCGCCCTCGAATCTGCCGTTGGGGGGAACACCGAAGGGTCTGAAGGGACCAGCCTGAGCCCTCCTGCAGACGTTAGAGTTTCGGTTGTACTCGTAGACCACGTTCTGTCTGTGCAGGACGATGATGTGGAAGTATCTGTGGAGATAAAAGAGTCAGTTTCGCTGAATTATGCTGAATACAGATTGCTCGATGGAAAATAGTAGTCAGCAGGTTATTCAACGAAGTTGATTCAGGGGCCAACATTTTCAAAATAGGGATCGTCTAAGGCCAGACGATAGAATGATCATGAACATAATACAACAGGCAATGATCAGCGGGCCATATGCTAGGCTTCCGCGGGCCAGATTTGTCCAGCGAGCCGCTAGTTGAATAACCCTAGAGTAGAGGGGGACATAAACAAACACTGGTGGCTTAGTCACGTGACACGGGAAAGACACACATCCAGAGCACATTCACACATACACAGGCAGCTCAAACACATATACGCACACTGAGAGATTCCACACACACTCACACAATATCGGCCGCTGAGGGAGAGAGGAAAGGGGTCAGAGAGAGAGAACAAACGAAAACGGCCTTTGTTTCCCACCCGCCTCGATGCACTCTCTTTCTTCCATTCTAGCGATATGATCAAAGTAGTATATCCTCTTTAGCGTTAAATTTCTTTGTGATTTCTTTCAATACATTTTGTTGAAAGTTTGTTGCGTATCATTTACATAACATTACAGAACCAGTCCCGACACTCTTTGGTTGTTTAATACTTCACTTGGCAAAAGATATTCAGTAGTTTGCCATTACCACTATACAGTCGGCTCTCGATACCCCTGTCAAAACCAACAAACCAAATCGCCCGCAACTGCGGTCGAACCCGGCACCTTGGAATTAAGTTACGCATTTGCAACGTCTGGGCCACAGAAGTCGACTCATTACACTTATACGTCCATAAAATCACATCACAGCAGCTTCCCCACAATTTTTCACCGCTCGGCTGATTGTCCATGATTCACTTCAGTTCGTTGGGATTGACTTGACTTACTCTCTTTCTCACCTCAGTTGATAGGACAGATTGCATAAATCATGCTTCATTTTAATCACCGACTTGTAGCTTAAAAGTTGAGTTTTCAAGCCTAAACATATGGCGGGTATAAAATGCAACGTATTACCACTTTACTGCAAACAAGTGGAATATCACGCCAACAAATCACGATACGCCACTTGCCATAACTCTAGCAGGCCGCTTTCAAATGTGTTGTGTTTGTTGAACATGTTTTGTATATTAACATAAGGTTAAGGTTAGTTGCATATCCTTTACAGGACATTGCAGAACCAACCCCAGCAGCCCCTGGCTGTTGTGTGGTTTCTCTAGGCAAATTTACGTCCAGTAGTTTGCCCTTGCTTTCTGGACGGTCGGCTCCCTGATACCACTGTCGGAACCAATGCAAAGCGCATAGCCCGCAGCTGGGATCGAACCCGGCACCCCGGCATTACGAAGCGTTCGCATCGACTTAGCCACAGAGCCGACATATTAACATAAACACTAATATAAAATAATAACACAACTTCAGATTTATAATAACTACAGCAAAAGTTGCGTACTAAGTTCTTGCCACTAACTGACAGCCGTATATCTGGGGCTCTAGTGTACTGTAGGTATAGGCCAAACTCAGAATTTCAAGCTAAAAATCTTGAGCTCGACTTGTATACCAGGTCGACTTTACGCCGCCGTTTACGACACCTCTGCCTTTACTTATTATTTCTCGATTGATAGTAGCTGTTCATACCTATAGCGAAATCTGTAAATAGATGGCAATTCAGACATTCAGTTAACACATTATACGTATTGCACATCGAACCATTCAGTCCATAAGTGATCAGATCCCTACCTCGGTAAACCCCACCGCATATAGCGGCTGGTGACACCAGCTCAGAGTTGGTTTCTTGTTCTTCTTTGGCTTCCTGCATAGTGCTCTTGTCTGGCCACACCGCTTGTAACATGTTCATGCAGTCTGTTCGAGGTGGCAGATTGGCATTCATCACTTGGTTCTCGTAAACGTTTTACTTCTCGTGGAGCATTGAGTATGTCAGCCTGGTCCATGGCTTGCCCACCCTCGACAGTATCCTTATCTGCAAGCCTATCAGCTTTCTCATTTCCTTGCACCCCTGCGTGTCCTGGCATGAGAATGAAAGCGATCTGTGTTGACCCCAACCGCCTCGGAGACTCCAATCACTGTCTTCGGACCCGGCCCACCAATATCTTTCTGAGCATCCTCGCTGAGTCACTGAGAACTCGTGCTTGGGTGAAAGCCTGTGTCTCCAGCCATGTTCAAAAATAGATATTACGTACTACGTTGAACTCCTGAACAGTTGAATATACTTACTGTCTGCCAGGGGCGGGTCCGCCTTCTTCTCTCTCGTAGAATGCAAACCTCTCCCCCTGGTTGTCATAGGCGGCGTCGAAGTTGCGGAATGTGGTGAACTCCTGGTTATACTGCACAGCGTAGAACTGAAAACACAGACAGCAGTAAGGTAATCAGGTAGTGGGGTAATCAGGTAGTTAGGTAATCAGGTAGTGAGGTAATCAGGTAGCGAGATTATTAGGTAGTGAGGTAATTGGGTAGTGAGGTAATCAGGTAGTGAGGTAATCAGATAGTGAGGTAATCAGGTAGTGAGGTAATTGGGTAGTGAGGTAATCAGGTAATGAGGTAATTGGGTAGTGAGGTAATCAGGTAGTGAGGTAATCAGGTAGTTAGGTAATCAGGTAGTGAGGTAATCAGGTAGTGAGGTAATCAGGTAGTGAGGTTATTATGTAGTGAGGTAATCAGGTAGTGAGGTAATCAGATAATCTCAGTTCCAACTTTATCGCAATCGAATCACCCCCATAGTTGCTCTTTTTCCGTGCTTACAAAAACCACGTAGAATGTACATTACTGCCCCTTTTTTAAAACAAACTGACATCGTCTGCAGTCTTGACAAATTCAACAGCATGCACGCGCATTAAATGCAAAAGGCAGCAGTCTGAAGTGTCAACACAAACAGGCTGACACTAAAACTGCAGTTTATCGTCGATGTAAGAAGCAGCTATAACCGTCCAGGAAGCAATGGCAAACTAATGGACGTAAATTTGCCTAGAGAAACCACACAACAGCCAGGAGCTGTTGGGGTTGCTTCTGCAACGTTCTGTAAAGGATACGCAGCTAACCTACTACACAAAACATCATTGAAATGAGAGATGACTAGGAATTGTTGACAAAAAGACTGGTTACGGCGTGTCAGAAACAAAGTCGGGTTCTAAATCCGACCAAGCATCTGGGTTAATCTGGGTAAAGATTCGACATCACAGCATTCAAGGAAAACCCATACTATCTCCGTTAACAGTCAGGGGAGAGTTCCCATACCGATGGTGCCCGTTGTCACGTGGTTAACTACTCGTCTGGCTTTCCCCTGAGTCTGGAGTGGCGCCTGGAGCCCACAGACACTCTCCGCTCCATCATTGTCCCGAGTTATGAGTTTTCAGTATTTTCCATGCTACTTTTTACCTCCTCCCACAAACAAGAGATCACCTCTGACTTGTGTCAGTTGCAGTACATCCCAAGTGCAGTGAGTCTGTCCAACTTATATGTCTGCTCATTGTGTAATATACAATGCATGAATGTCAGTGTATGTATGTATATGTATCTAGGTGTGGGTAAGCTTGAGTGTTATGTATGAATGAATTTGAATGCATGCGTGTGTGGGAGTGTAAGTATGTGAGCTGGTTATATGAATGTTGATATATGAGTGTGTGATGGCATTTATGTGAATGTATATCCGTGAATGGAATGGATTCATGCGAGTGCATGTGTGTGGAAGCACGGATGTTTATGGATGTGTGATTGTGTGTGTGTGTGAGTGCATGTGAGGGTAGCGGTGTTTGTACACGTTTGTGTCAATATATAAAAACACAAATTCAGTATATATATATATATATATATATATATATATATATATATATATATAAATTATATATATATATATATATACATATAAATTATATATATATATATATATATATATATATATATATATATATTTATTTATTTATATATATATGAGAGAGAGAGAGAGAGAGAGATGTAGTTTGAGTATATGTATGTGTACGCATGAGTGTGTCTGCATGTATGTGTCTGTATGAGCATGGGTGAGTGTATGTATTTGTATGATGGTGTGTTTGTGTATGTATGTGAACGTATGACTGTGCATATGCCTGTGTATGTATAGGCATATAAGAAATGTGTATATGTTTAGTGTCAATGCATTATTTCATTATGTAAAATTCTATATGAACATAAAATTACTGCTAACATATAATTGTGGTCTAAAAGATGAGTGTTTGGAAGGGTCAAATGTAAGACGGGCCTGCGAGCCAAATTTGTAACCTTTTGAAAATTAAGTTCGTTAGTTCGTTTGTTCCTTTAAACGCCTTCAAAGCCTAGACAAAATATCCCTGTGACTCTTACCCCCCAAGCAGAACCAAGTCCACGATGAACTTGGACCGAATTCGTTGAGAGTCAATGAATGGTGATGGAGTTTGTGCTTAAATAGTACCAGGGTGCTTTCCTTACAAACTTCATGACTCATCAATCAGCAAGTCCTTTACAGAACGTCGCTCTTTTCACGACACGCCTGAAAGTATCCCTTTCCCTAACCAGCTCTCCGGCCCCATGTACTTTTAATGCAAATGCATCTTCAATGTCTTGTATCCATCTTCGCGATGGTCGGCCCCTGCCTCGCCTTTCACAAACCGCACCTTCCATCACCGTCTTTTCCAAGCCACCATGACGCTTGATGTGGCCAAAATACTTCAACTTTTAGGAAAGGATGCTGTTTATGAGCCAGTTCTCCTTGATGTTCAACTCATTCAGACTGTCGATGTTTTTCCTCTTCCTGATCCATGGTATTCTAAGAATATTTCTATAACATTTCAATTCAAAAGCTCCAGTCTTTTTCCTCAGTGACTCACAACAGTAAGTTGCCACAGGAAAAATGCAAGATCTCAAGATTTTTACTGTAACCAATTTACTAATGTTTTGCCATAGGCTCTTTATGCTATTTAATCTTTTCATTGCCAATGCAAGTCTTCTTCATGACAATAAACTAAAATTTTCTTCTTCTTCAGTATTCCAAACCCTTGAGGTTCATTGCTGCACATATCACCCCCCTCTAATCAACTGTGCTGGGCCCATCTTTCCAACTGGTGATTTCCAGTGTTCCTAGGTCTGCCTGGATTTTCGCTCTCTGACAAAGATATCAGACCAAACGAAAAGTTGAACCAGAAAGCTTAACAATATAATACACATAAACGACATGTGAACGTTGCGACTAGACATCTTCATCAGCACATCACATAAATGTACAAGAATATACAAAATCATTTTACTGATTATCTCCGAACAAAACAAAAAAAAACAAAAACACATTTCTGTCCGGCCAGTAGAATATATAACACGTGTGTGGCCCATAGAACTAATTACTAGACAGAAAAAGCCATGAGACACAAGGGCCGTAACTCAAAAAAAAAATTTGCAAAACTCTGTTGGATGTTACTTGGTGAATTAGCACCTCGGAGACGGATAAGGCGGTTTTCGAGACTCACAGACGCCTGGTCTGCTTCTTCTCTCTTTTCCCTTTATCGAGCCCTGTTATATCATTTTTTGGAGAGACCTATAGATCTTCTTACAAGCCCCTAACATTACATTGTCAGTCTCTTAACTGTTAATTTATTTGTATAAATGGTTTTCAAAGCTTAAACAAATAATAGGCCAAATTTCATAAATACTGAAAATACAAGGTTGGAGTTAGGCAACGGTTCTGTAAACTCACCGAAAGCAGTGGCGGGGAGAAGCAGGGCTGGGGTATTTGAGAATACGCCACTGCCGCCAACGTCAGGACTGCCAAGATCTTGTACATGATGACGACTCTGATGTAAATGCAAGTTCAGCTCGACGGCAACAAGAACAGCTCAATAGCGACAAGCTTCCACTAATGGAGTGAATCTACACTCCGGGATTAGGTATAAAAGGAATCCTTCGTCCACTTTTGTTATCAGAAATATGCCACGTGACGACTATCGAATGATGCTTTTATCTGATATCTCGTCCTGGATCATATTGTGTTTTCAAATGTCATTAGGCAATTAGTTTTTCGTCCAAAGTACAACAAACCTATAGTGCTGATTAGATGACTAACAAGTCGAAACTTATCAATTCCGAAGCTGCCGATTAACTGATTGAAAGAGTAATTATCAAGTTAGTTTTCTTCCAAATTATGGTCCATTTTGCCGTTATCTATGAAGACAATGTAGATAATGGTTTCGGTAATAAAATTAATCATGACAAAGCTTTTCTGAAATACGTCTAGGGGCGTGAAAGTATTGAATACATGACATTTTCATTAACTATCAGTGTTCTTTTCAAAAAGTAAAGAAGCGGTTAGTTAATAATGGTTTCTTTCTTTCTTTCTTTCTTCCTCTTCTTCTTTATCTCTGGAAATGAAGAAGTGCGTCCCGAGGGAGTATTTATGGAAGATAAAATCTGTTCTGGGTGAAGTATAGTCCGTGGAAATAATTGCCACAAATGTAAAGTGCTTTGATATGTATTGTATATATGGTACTTAGCAGTAGCAACCACTTTCAAAGGAAGAAGGTGGAGATGGCTTGAACATGTGTGCAGAATGCCTATTGACATTCTAGCAAAGACATCTCTCCCATGGACGGAAGATGGGAAAAGGGGACATGGACCAAGCAAACCTGGTGAATGACAACAGAAAGGGGTATGATGCAATGTAAAATTACATGAGATACCATGGGTAGAAAAACAGCAGTGCAAATTGCTTGTGAACGCCTTATGTGTTAACAGCGTCATGAAGATGCTATAGTGCAGTGGTTTCTAGCCTGGTGGCGCCCTCTAAGGGGCGGAAACACGTTTCAATTAAGGGTATCAAGCAATTTCGAAACTGAGTTTATTTGTATTTGTAAAAATCCGTAGCACTAGAAAGAAAAAAAAATTAGCTTCAGCTAATAATATAATATTTTAAAACTAGTTATAAACGAAAATCTTAGGACGTTTTTGTATGTGAGCAGTTTAAATACAGCAGATGTTAGGACAAAACAGTGTAAACAATCACTTTGATATTTGGACACTAAATTACCAATTGTTTGGGTATACGTTCAGTCTCCATGCGGGACGTAATTTTGTGTTATTTTATAGCCCCATCCTGAATATTTTCGGGGGCCATAATATAACGCAACCTATGGGTTGAAGGAGGTTTCTGGGACCTATCTTCAGGTGATTCTCATCCAAATGGTGGTACTTTGTACACCGGGTGTTTGTTGCTTGATGAGATGCCCTGGTGGGTTAAAATGTCAGTTGTTTTGGGGATTTCTTTAAAGTTTTTTGACACTTCGATTGTGTGGATGATTTTGCCAAGTTCTTGTTAATAATGCTTCGGATTTTCTGTTGTGTCCTCTTTTTCAGCTCATTTTAAATTGAAAGGGAAGGCGTCCTTGCTTTATGTTCAAGGAGACACCAGCTGAAAAGGCTTGAAAACTACTGCTATAGATACATACGATGCTATTATTTTACCTGTTGTTTACGAACACAGTCAATGCAAAAAAACAACAGAATATTCTTTCAGCTTGCAGTGAGCCTAAAAAAGCAGTATGTACCATTTGATGACCTGAGTAATGTCTGTGCTACTATTAAATACTACTACTACTACTACACTACCACCACCACTACTACTATTATTATTACTACGACGACTACTACCACTACTACTATTATTATTATTGCTACTACGACTACTACTACTACTATTATTATTACTACGACGACTACTACTACACTACTACTACTACTACTACTGCTACGACGACTACTACTACACTACAACCACCACTACTACTACAACTTCTACTACTACGATTATTATTGCTACGACGATTACTACTACATTACCACTACTACTACTACTACTACTACCACCACCACAACAACTACTACTACCATCACAACTACTACTACCACTACCACCACTACTACTATTATTATTCCTACGACGACTACTACTGCACTACCACCACCACTACGACTACTTCTATTATTATTATTACTACTACTATGACGACGACGACTACTACTACCACCACCACAACAACTACTACTACCACCACTACGACTTCTTCAACTCGGGGCCGTCTCGACGCTTGGGCCCGCTCGGCGCTTGCCCCTGGCCGCACTGATATAGGAGCCCTATACTAATCTTTGTCGGCTCTGTGAATAAGTCGATGCAAACGCTTCATAATGCTGGGGTGCCGGGTTCGATCCCAGCTGCGAGCCATGTGCCTTGCGTTGGTTTCGACATTGGTATCAAGAAAGCCGATCGTCCAGAAACCAGTGGCAAACTATTGGACGTAATTTTGCCTAGAGAAATCACACAACAGCCAAGGGCTGCTGTGGTTGGTTCTGCAACGTCCTTTAAAGGATACGCAACTAACCTTATACTAATCTTTGTATGTCACGTGACTTGCAATAAATAAAAACAAAAGATATTTGACGTTTAAACGAATTCTTTGCAATGTAAAACCAAAATTATATCCCCGTCCGCCCAGCTACCAGTTTTGTGGAAACGATTGTAAAATAATCATATCTTTAATATTATCAAACATTTAGATTTGATTTTGGGTGTCACCGTGGTGTAGCGGCTAGATGCTCGCCTGTGGATCTGAAAATCGTGGGTTCGGGTCTTAGTTCGGCCCAGTCTTAAATGGGTACCAGGTAGAGTCATGGGAAGGAAAGGCAACCGGCATAATGCTGACGACATCACCCACGGAGTGCCAGATTTGTCTATCAAATATAGGTCTAGTCCTATCTGCCCTAAACGCTTGAAGTCGTAATAAAGGATAATAACATGTCATTGCTGTCAGTGGTAGTTGTAGGTGTCCCAGCACACTGGTTTGCCTGGACTCCCATTGTTCTCTCCAGACGGTCCTGCTTCTTCTACTACAGACACCAGTTGCAGCAGCAGTAGTAGTAGTAGTAGTAGTATAGTAGTAGTAGTAGTAGTAGTAGTAGTTGTTGTTGTTGTTGTTGTAGCAACAGCTTGTTAAAACTTTCCAGGGGGTGGTAGTTATAGTAGTGGTTATGGTAGTAGTAATAACAGTCATTATTTTTTCGGCCATGTTATGAGAAGAGGGAAAATAGAACATGTTGTGACCTCTGGAAAGATCTGTGGAAGGAGGGATAGAGGAAGACAACGAGAGAAGATGCTTGACAGTCTTGTTGCATAGCATGAAGGTGTGTCGGCACACAAACTGATTCATGCTGCAGGAGATCGCAGATTATGGAGAGGCATGATCGCCCACGCCAGTCGGCAAAGCACCTGATAATGATGATGATGAGTAGTAATAGTTTTCTCCCTCTCCCTTCTTTTCTTAGACAGTATTGTGCTATAACAGACACGCTTTCTAACATCTATATTCTTTCATTTGTTCTGAGCGCCAGTCATCACAAGTAAGTTCACTTATCACACGATTCTAATCGAACCCTGTACACAGTAGTTCAAGATACAACTTGATCTCATTACGCGAGGTCGCACTTTCTAGTGGCCCGTTACCAAAACTGTTCAGATAACACTGAGGGGAGTTGAATCTCCACCTTTATCAACATACAGAATATTCTGGGTCATATGCTGACAGGAGGAGATAAATCATCATCTCCTAGGTCTCTAGTTACATACGTGGTAACTACAGTAATAACACGCAAGATCAAAGATGTGCATTACCAAACAACTATAGTGCGTTTCAAAAGGCATGCCCCCGCACTAATACATATTTCGAAAACTACTTTACGGATCAACACAGATGCTGCTGTTTTCTTAAGGCAGCGAATTTTTTTGATCTTCTTCTTCTTCGCCTTCACCAGCTGTAAACTCCGGCGGAAAGCTCTGGTTGCTCGTCCACTTCTGGACTGCAGTCCCTTTCCAGAACCTGAGTGTTGCGTGTGCATCCGTTTTACAGAGCTGACTCATTTGTATGCAGACTGCTGGTTCCTTGCCTCTCAGGCAGATGCACTCCGACTTCAAATGAAGCTCCTAATTAGTCGACTTACAACATGCTTTTGGGTAGGCAGTGGGTCTATTCTTGTTTTCCCTATAATAGGGCCCACACGGGCAACTTTGATCTTGATTTGACTAATCTTTTGCTTGATCCTACTAAAGAGAATTAAAGTGCTGTAGCTTGTTATACATATGAAACAGAAAATAGTTTTTTTTTTCAAGGCTGAAAAACATTTACTCTCGTCAGAGATGTGGTTTCTGGAAAGAATACAAAGGTCTCTCATTACATACGCGGCAACTATGGTGCGTTTCGAAAGTCGTGCTCTCACACTTTAACGAAAATCTCGAAATTTTTTTGCAGACAAATTCAAATCTGCGACTCGCTGCAGCCCACGGCCGGTTGTTAAAAAAAAGCAATGGATAAATAGCGAAACCGGAATAAATAATGGGAGGACCATATAAACTGAAACGTCGCTGCAGCTACGGAGTTTTTGCGTTAAAACGTGGATGGCAAAATAAAAACTAGACCATTTTTATATATATATATTATATAGCTGTCGCAGTACTGGAGACTCGGCAGAGCGACTTGCAGCCCACGTGTTCGAAACTAAATGAATAGCAGGAGTTGCTTATGGCGACCAGTTTCTTATCAAGTCCGTACGGTGAGAGCACTTATAGACAGAAAGATGGATACGGAAGCATAGACAGAAAGATGGAGACATATAACGGACATCCCCCCCCCCCCAGGTTGATTTTTCCGCCTTCTTAAAAACAAAACAAAGAACACCAACGAAGTTAGGTCTAAACAGATATCCCAGCTTGCCTGAGGTTGTCCTTAGCTGATTCAGCTAAAC